GTGAAATTCTTCTAGGAGGCAGAAGCTGTTTTTAACAGGAGACATTTGGACACATACAAATACGTTGAACATAAGGAGCTTTTAGTCAGTCCACTGAAAAGTTGCTCCAGGCCTTTCCTAGGGCTTCTGTGTGCATATCTTCCACATTTTCTCCTGTGAACTCCTTAAAGCAGTGTATTTAGATTCCTATGTAAAACTGGACTGTATAAGCTGGAAGTGTTCATCCTAGTGTTTGATATACCTCAGCAAAGCTGGTGCCCTGCTCTTCTAGACCCAAAAGCTCTCTCAGAAGTCCTGTCAATGGAATGGGACTTTTTAGGATAATCTGGTTTTCTTTGATATAGAAAATACTTGTACTCCAAATGCAGACTTGATAGTAGGACAGGGCTATGTGAGTTAGAAATAACCTATTATATCTGGTGAAGGTACTTTTAGTAAAGCTGTATTTGGAACTTTGATATTGAGGTTAAAATCATTTGAGGATGTTCATCTAAAGAGCTCCATGCAGAGACAATTTTTTGGATTTTGTAGTCAAGCAAAAGGCTGGAGTTTTTAGGACATCTGAATTTCCCATCCTTTCAGAAACCTCCATGACATGGGATTGGGAATATTTATGTCATATCTGGGCAGCCTAGATAGTTGAGGTTTGAGGGTAGATTTGGGAGCTGTGGTGGCTGAAAGTCGCCCAGCTGTGCCACACTGACAGACTTTCCAGTGTTGCGGGGTGATGACATTTAACTGGAGTTTGGTGTGGGAATGAGGGAGGCTTTGAATCGCCAGCAAGCTCCTGCCACAACCATGGCTGCTGAAGGCAAGTGCCTATGCCAAGTTGCTCTCCAGAAGCACCTATTTTGTCAACAAAGGTTTATAACATATCACCCAGGACAAAGAGAGCATTACCCACTTGAGGGGCTGCTGTAAAGTCGCTTGCCCTTTGCTGCTTCTGCCTGTGATTTTTGGGGGAGTGGGAGGGGAAGAGAAGTCGTAAGGAGCGGTGACAGTGGAGAGGGGAGCGCAGTGAGAGGAGCCCCTGCTGGCATGGCCAGTCCAAGCCATTCAGCAGGGCTGAATACGATAAATGCTGCTTTATCCCTTCTTGAATGGAACAAGATAGCACAGCCTGAATGCCTGGGTGTGCTTAAATAGGCAACTCTGGGATGCTGGAGTTGAGGGCGCTTGAAATCGGAGCTCCCCAACAGCCAGGGAGCTGCCACAGGTCACCTGCCTCACTCCGTGGGGACTGGCCCGGGTCTGGCAAGAAATCGTCCACGGACGAATTGTACTACAAATTCCTTTCTCTGTTGGTTGGCCTCTTTCACTAGACCATGGCCTATAAAAAATTGTGTAAAAACAATTCCTAAATATTATTTGAAAGGGCAAACGGCCACGCTGAAAGGTTTGACAGTTTGACATATAGCGCCTGGTTCTGCTCGCCAGGGAACGGGCGTGCAGAGTCTGGGCTCTCCTTCTGCTCCTTACAGGCTCTGCATTTGCTTTTTTTTTTTTTTTTAAATAGCATCTAGTTGCTGTGCAGAGTTGCTGCGCTCCCAGCAATTTGACAGGCAACGAGTCTGCTTCAGTGATCTTAAATCCTTTTAGACTAATTTGCGAGCGAGCAGAAAAACAGCTAGCACCTTCGGATCCAGCACTCAAAACCAGGGAATCAGGTATTGCCAATTAAAGTGCCATTTCCAACCATCATATCAAGGCAGATTACTCGCAGCTCCTCTGATAATGTCACGCCATGCCTAAAGAGAAAGTGAGAGTTTCTCCATGGACAAAGGATCTGCATGGACCAAGCTGATCGGGGCGGAGGGAGCACGGTGGGGATCATGCACACAGCCATGCATGTGTGCAGCATAAAGGCGAACGCTGCGCCCGCTTTGACCCCAGATAGCCATGGGCCATTCTGAAGAGCCTGTGGCCCCTCACTCACTGGCCTACTAGTTAATTGCCACACGGACTTGGTGACACATGGGCAGATAATATGACATTTTCGGTTTCTGTCACTAGCAAACGCCACGGCGTTGCTTGCACTAGTTGCTAAGAAGCTGTCAGAAACCATTAGCAGCTGGCTAAAGTTGCCCTGTGGCATTTCCTCATGGCATCAGCAAAACAAGCATAAATCACCCAGCGGAGCCTCCCGCTATACTAATGAGGCTGTAAGCTTGTTTATGGACTAGCATCATTTCTATGATTATTTCCACCTTTTCAGTTCGCCTTCATTTGGCGGCAGGAGAAGTCAACTTCAGGAGCAGAGTTGCCACCGACATTTTACAAATGCAATTCGTAGCTGCTACCGTGTGGCTGGTCAGTGCTGCTTCGAGTTTGTTTAGTGATATTTAAAAGGAGGAAAAGGGGAGGAGGGGGGAAGAAAAGGAGGGGGAAATCTCTGGAGACCTCACAGAGGTGAGTGTATCGAGTTGCAAAGTAGATGGAAATACTAAAATCCACAATTGACCATTTAGACTTCTCTCTGTGGTTTCGGTCTTTACGGGATCAATTTTCCATTTAAAAAAAGTGGAAGAGGTTAAACAATTTACAGAAGTCTACTGAAGCATTTGCTCTGAGGATAGCCGGACGCTTTCTTATCCTCTCCTTGCTTTTCACTTTCTCTAACTTGTGTCGGTCGAGGCCAGGGTTTATTGTTTTAGGCTTTTCTGAACATACACCAGTATTTACACTGGATTGAAAGCATTTGCTTCCAATGAAAATCTTGTCTTAGATTACAGCCCAGCAGTGTAATTTCCCTCCCAGATGGGAGTAAAGTAGCAGTATTTGCCTAAAAACAGTAGGAAGAACAAACTGTGCATTAAGCCAAGGCTGTTTTTGGCTTGAGCTAATGATGTAACAGAAACCTTTTATTTGGGATAGGTCACTGCCCGGGATTGAAGGAGGTGATCTGGCTCGCGCTTGAAAGGTTTCTCCATTGTATCTACATAAGTCTTCACTTAAAAAATCCTGTTCCTAATGCTTCTGCTTTCATACAGCAGAAATAAACAGGAAAGGTTCTGGGGAGTGTTATAGGTGGAATGCAGAAAGCTTTTCCTCCCCTAATGGAGGATATAATTCAGGTGCCCTGGAGGCATGCTTTCAGGAATTCTCTTGCCCGAGGTAATGGGAAGCTAAGGCTGCTTGAAGGCCTTGATTATCTATTGATGCACAAAGCTGGAAAAAAAGTCATCTCCCTTGGATTATAGTAGATATTTCCATAAATTATCAATGAGTCCTCCTCCCGTCAGGCATGAGGCAATGCCTGCTAAATTAATCTGAAGGGGGTTTGAAATGAGTATATTTTTAAAAAAATGGGGTGGGGGGAAGAGGGTGGGTGGACGATGGCAGGGAGGTGGTGAAAGGCAGTGTCATTAGGTTAGAAGCTTTTCATTTTTAATCAATGAATGCGTAATACTTTTCTTTTCCTTGTTTGCCTCTTGCAGACAGAAAGTAGATTAGCCCGTGGAATTTTAAATGCTGTTGAGTTGTTTCCTTTGCTCATGTTTCTTTTATGAATTATTATTTTATATGGTGAATTGCTTCTCTGTATAAAAGCCCTTTTTTACATACTGGGCTTTCAAAGAATTTGTTGGATATCTAATTTCTTCATAAAAATCTTCTGTTTGTCTGTAACTACCCAAGGTTACAGTTTCATTAAAGACACAGGCCAAGTCATAAGGACAATTATAAATTTGCCACAGTCAGTAACATGCTAAGAATATAACACTAATAATAGCTTTTTTTTTTTTTTTTTTTTTTTTTTTTTTTTTTGAAATTTTTTTAACAAATCATGACAGTCCGCATCCCTTTTTTAAAATCTATTTTATTTTTGTCCCTAACCGAGATAGTTTGTATTCATCCAAATTGAGATTATTTTCTTCATCATTCTTGCCTGGGGGTGCAAAAAACACTTGGCTAATAACCTCACAACTCCATGTTGCTACAAATACAGTGCCTTTGGAAGCCAGGATATGTTGTTCAGTCCACATGCATTCAATGCAAAGACTTATCTGCTCTGTGGGCTTGTTTATAAACTGCTTTCAGTGTTTGCAACAAAAATTGCATGCCAACTGCTATGCAAACTGCTAGGCACTGCAACTTTTGTTTTCCCTTGTCCACTAAGCCATCATCCCAGACCCAAGTGGGCTGTGGCACAGGGGCATCCTCCCACAGACGTGTTGCCACTGTGATGGGAACTGTCTGAGACCTTCTCTGCACTGAGGAAACTCATTCTGGATCAGTGGTTGTTTCAGAGAAGCAGACACCTATTGCAAATATGGCACACTGGCACGAAGCAGGGTGTTAATTCCTAATGGTTTATGTCAAACTGGGGCCTGCTTATCCCCCTCTGATTTTTTTCTGGCTGGGGATGGGAAGAGGGGACCCAGTTAGCTACCTGCCTCCCATCAAAGAATCAGGGGAAGTCCAACAGCTTTAAGTTAAAAGACTTAACATAAGCAATGCCTCAATCATATTGGTTTTTTTCTGAATTTGCTGAGGGAATATGATGTTGCAAGGGAGCTGCATTCACCCCACTTTTCACACCCCAGGGCGGGATGAGGCACCCAGCTTCACACACGTCATGGTCCCCATCCCAGAACACCACTGATATTTTCCTAATTGTCAGCTCAGCCAAAGTAGCTGATTGGGATGAATCTTTGGGAAGTGACCTGGTGTGAAGAAGAGCCAGCATTTCCACCTTTGCAAGCTGGATGCTTGCAAATATTTTTTTATAATTTGTAAGCACTTTTTGTTCTGGGTTACAATGGCGGAGATGGCCACACTGTCCTTCAAGATAAACCAGCATGGGGCCAACACATTTCTGAGCCCCTCCCTCTCCCCATGTCTCTCCCCCCCCTTCCCCCATCCCCTCAACCCCTGGTGAATTACGGTGTTAAAGAATTTATACCTCATTTAAATATTCATGCAGTTTATACCCAAAGCCAGGCTTCGGCTGAAGTATATAAAGGTAGCATAAGTCAAAATTTGATTCACTATATTTACAGGTGACGGCTTGGACAACAGTGTAGCTTCCCCCAGCACAGGTGATGATGATGATCCAGATAAGGACAAAAAGCGACATAAAAAGCGTGGCATCTTTCCCAAAGTAGCCACAAATATCATGAGGGCATGGCTGTTCCAGCATCTAACAGTAAGTGAACTCTAGATCACATATGCAAAATAAAACATGGATAATGTCATAGTTGTAGTAGTCATAGAAAGCAAAAAAAATACGTATGATGTTGCTGCCAGGCAGTAGAGGGACTTTTCCGAGCAGAGTTGTTGTTGTTGCCTCATTTGCTAGATGCCAGGGGAAGAGCACAGAGCATATGTCTTTATGGTATGGGGCTTTTTTGTGTGTGTGTGTGTGTGTGTGTGTTGTTTTTAGATTTGTTTGTTTGTCTGAGATGCAGTTGTTAACAGGACATCGATGTCAAATGTGATTTTTACATAAAGTTTATATGAATACAACCTTGCAGACCTGTCCTGCTTTGCAGTGGGAATCACTGCTTTGGAGCACAGAGCAGCATTTGGCCCCTGGGTTCTGTGCTCCAGAGAATTGCAGAAAACAATTGGGGAGATTAAAAAACAAAGCCAAAAGCAAACAAAGACCTTATTCAGATGTTTGTCAGAGATCATCAGAAGCTTCATGATGAAAGGTTTGAATGTATCTGGTTTAATAGCAAAGTATAATTTTTTTCTTTGAGATGTTCTCATTCCCAGAGTGTAAGTTACCCCTGTATTTAATGTTAGGAAGTGGTGGGGGTATACACTGTTATTTCTATTACCACAGCTACCTGTATGGGGTTTTTTTATTCCTGGGATTAGAAATCAAAGCTCTGTACAGGTGTGTGGGGTTAAGCTGGATGCTGGAGTTGCTTTCAAGGCTTTATAATATGTACCACACCTTCTAACATCAGCATTTAGAAAAGTGTTTCTAATGCCATTCTCCTCCATTAAATGGTGGTGATCTGTCACTGGGTTTTTATCCACTGTGGGGATCTGGGCTGTGGTTTTGCCACGAGAATAAGGGTCGGGCAAGGGCTGCTGGTGTCTGCAGGTGAAGAAGGGCTCCTGCCTCTAGCCCCAGTAGCTGACTCTTCCCTCTGCCTGTAGCTAGGGTCAGGATGAAACTAGAAGCTGGCCAGCTTGCCCAGCCCCAGTGGGAGCTGTGCCAGGGGTGTACTCATAAAGCAGAGGAAGCACTCCTGCACATCACCCCTCCATCCCCTGCTGAGCCAAGAAACCAGATACCTGCCATGACTCTTGTCAGCACGGGATCAGGCAGGGAATCCTGTCCTGTGCAGTCCCAGCTTGCTATGAATGAACCTTCATGTTGGAGCCCTGCTCCTCAGAGCCCAGAGAGGACCTGAGAAAAAACCTCCAGGTTAATTTTTCTCTCAGCACACTCCATGCCAGCCGTGCCCCAGCTTTGCCAGGTCCTCAGCTCTGTCTGGTGTGTTCAGTGCCATCCTTTCCCAGAGGCTGAGGTCCCTTTGGTGCTGATGGCTCCCCCTTTGTGGGTCCTCACCCAGGATGAGCTGACACCTGGCATCTCTGTGCATCCCTGGGAGGTTAAGGACATCCAGGACAGTTTGTGGGTGCTGTGCCAGCAGCAGTGCTCACACCAGCACCTGCTCTATGTTCAGGAACCAGGAGAGGCCCAGGAAGCTCTTCAGTCAGGACAAGGCACACTAGACAACACTGAACAGCTCAGTTCCTGCAGTTTCCAGTGAGGAATTGCAAATTAAGTAGTATAATTTTTTTTTTTTTTTCCTGAAAGTGCCCTGTTGCTGTGTTTGTGCCACTAAATAAAGCATCAATAAATCTGAGCGCAGGAACACAAAGGTCAGTCCTGGCAAATTGTTTGAGCAGTCTTCAGCACAATTTTAGCTGGGTACAGCCCCTCCAAATGCCTTCCTGGGAATATGGCAGAAGGATAAAGGGTGTCTCTAAAAAGCCTCTGTGGTGGGAGCCACCCTGTGTAGAGAATTTAACTGCATGAGCTTGACCTGACCCTGTAGCCAATTCCATGCTTAGTTTCAGGACCAAGAACAGACAGAACAGACCCCCTCACTGTTTCACCTGTGTGAGGTGCAGGGTTTTCATAGCTTTTCACTCTTCTCCTGTGTGGTAATAAGTGTTCAAAAGAGGAGAGTACCCGCTGAGCTTGCTCCAGGCTCCTAGCAGCCCCTGGGAGACAATGTCTGGGCATCTCTTTGTAAGGTGCTCTCTGCTTCTGGAAGACTCAAATACAGAAAGAACCATTCCTTCCAGGACCTATGCAATGCTGCATTTTCTACCTGGTAACACTGAGCTAAAGCTTGCTTTAAAAATCCACCATCCCCTGTGCAGAGCCAGTCCAGCCATGTGAAGCATGCAGGTTTTTTTGCAGGACAGCTTTCTCCTCTCCTGGTAGCATGGTAGATCAAGATTTATCTGATCAATTCAGTAAAACAGAATTGATTTATCCAGTCTGACCTTCTCCAGGAAGCACCTGGAGACACACCCTAGGTAGGAGCTTGGACAGTTTCCTCAAATGAAAACCTGTCTGGAGAACATTGTTGTCTCTTCCAAGTGCTGGAGCACTAGAGCATGTTCACAGGCTTCTTGGGGTGCAAAAGAACTCCAAATATACCCAGGCCCAAATAATGGCTGTGAAAAGAGCTGAGGAGTAGTGGAGGGAGAGACTGAAGGAATTAAAACTCCTGTTCATTACTGAGAGCACCTGGGCTTCATGTCTGCTCTTTCAACATTTCCCAATGGTATTGGTGGTGTCCCCACCTGATGTCCTTGCTTCAGGAGGGAGATCATCATGAGGAAACCAGAGATCCCATACAGTTTGTTTTTGTATTTATTTACCCACTTATTTATCAGTGGATTTGGTCTTTTGTAGGGTGAACACAAGGTCCTCCCTGAAGTGGGAGGTGAGGAAAGACAGAGGGGTGGTTCTGTTCAGGCAGGGGATGTGTCATGACTGATACCTCCCTTGTGCCCCCAGCAGTTTACCTTCCTTCACTTTGCCATCTGAAAAATGACAGAGAAGAAATGAGCAGCAGTTAAATGCAAAATCCAGCACCCCATTGACCACTGGTGCTTCCTAACTGGGGTGTTAGCTGGGAGTCCTCCTGTCCAAAAGCAAATTCTTTTCACAATTTTAATATTAATACACATCAGTGGCATGGAATTAAATGAAATAGACAGTAATTGCTGTGTCTGTCATACTAATGACTATTGGTTGGAAAGACCTAAAATAAATATTGGACAAATACAGTCTTTCAAAAGTGGATAGGTTGGATTAATTCTTTCTATGCAGTTATTCCAACTCCAAGAGCTTCAAGTCTTCCTCTGTGTACTGACTTCATTTCCGAAGGTTTGTTCCCTGGTTCTTGTTTCATGCTCAGGAGGAAATTCAGTTTTTTCTCTCCGGATGCTGAAGTGTTTGGGCAGTAGTTCCCACTCAGTGTCAGGCTCCAGCCCCCCCAGTATTTTGACTGATGTGCAGAACTGAGCTGACACATGCCCAAAGGGTAGGCAAGCACTGTCCTCTGCAGATACAGGCAGCATGCTCTGAAGCTTTTCAGGGATAAATCAGGGGATAAATTTGTCCAAATTGCCTTTTTTTTTTTCCCCTCGTGGAATAATAACAACAAAAACAATCAACTAAAACAATTGCAAAAGTGCTGACTAGACTCACACTCAGGACTTTGCAGGATATTTTTTTAACCATTTGCTGTTCTGATTTAATTTTGCTTAAATATCTGGGTTGGAAGAGTGCTCAGGTGGGCTGTTACCTGGGCAAAATGTAGTTGTGGAGCTTGTTGAAATTTTTCATGGTAGCTTATGATGCCATCTCAAAAATGTGGAGGTTTACAAAATCTATTTTTTAGGGTTTTACTATAAATTTGAGTTGGAAGCTTGCTACTATCTGGAAGGAAAAAAAAAAAGAATAAGAAGAATAATTTGGTGAAGAACTGCTAAAGTTGAGTCAGAATTGGGAAGAGGTTTGTGGAGTGGCACCAGATGAGCATTAAATGCCATGGCAGGGGCTGGATGAGGGACTGGGGCAAACCAGTTCTGTGCTGGTGCTTCACTTCAGAAGGTCACCCTAAGGATAATTTCAGGGTGTGTTGCAGCCCAGAAATGTTTTGCAGGCCTTTTGGATTTCTCAAAATTTTTAAAAAAAATTATTTTAATCAATTAACATTCAGGATTCATCTCTCCCCAAAAATTTTTCAAGCATATCTCCTCACTGTAATGTACATCCCTCAGCAGGGATTGTGAAATAAGGGAAGAGCTTAGGGGAAGGGGAGGGGAATTAAAAAATAATCTTGCTTACAGTTAAATCTGTGTAAATTTAATTGTGGCAACAGAGTGAGTTTCTGCTTCAGCCCATCCTAGGCTTTTGTCTCAGCAATGGTATTATTGGTATAAATTGGTATTTGGAATTGATATAAATACCTTTTTGTTCAAAACTAGGAGGAGGCAGTTTGTGGGATGTCTTTTCAAGTGTTTTTTTCACTCATTGTGAATACTCTGCATCCTTTGAATTCAGCTTAATTTAAAATGTTGGGATTCAAACCTCATTTTGGGGATTATACAATGTAATTGGTTTGTTATATGATGAGTATTTGATGATCTTCACATTCATCATCTAATCAGGCAAAAAAAGCCATAAAATTATAATCCCAGAAGATGTTTAATAACAATTTAAACTATTGAAGGCTTTATTTAAGCACATTAGGGGATTATAAACTACTCCCTTTTAATGGTGCCAAGAGGTAGATTCGAGGACTTCAAACACCTTTTAAAAAACAAATTGCCATGATTTAAAAAAAAAAAGAATGGGCTGAGGATTTCTTTCATGTAAATCCCATAATTTAATCATTATTTTTAACTGCTTTTAAAACAATTTCCTTGAGAGGTTAAATCTTACTGAAGGGGGAAACTGAGTAGAAAGTAAAAGACATGGCTGAAAGATGTTGACTTTAAAATGAAAGGATTTTTTCTGTGTGTATCTGTATTTTTAACCTTTATCGATTACTTGATGCTGTGATATGAAACAAGAAAATTTAAAATAAGCAGTATGCAATCTATTTAGTAAAGCTATTATTTATAAAGGAATTTACTGGAAGTAGATAATTTGCATCT